GCATGCGATCTTCCTGCTTGAGTATATAATTCCACCTTGAACAAGTATTCTTCATCTATATATCTGCTCAAATAACGCACCACATAATGTAGGGCATCGATGTCAGGAAGCTTGAGTATCTTCAATAAATCTTTTGCTCCAATATGTAGGGGAACAGATAACTCCTTTAACTTTTCTCATTTCTCTTGAAGATTCCAATCATTTTACACATAAAAGAAGTCGCTAATCCAACCTTTCGACAGGTCTCAAGTATGAATATCCAACCACTTTGAAGGAGATATGATCCTGTGTATCACTAATGAGACGCCCCATCCAAGAAAGGCATTCTGAAGATAACACCACTGTTGAGTCTAGTAAAGAGCAAATACAATTCTTCCAAAATTGTCAGGAGATAACTACACATTTGAACAATAATGTTTGGAATCATCAAAACTTCATAAGTTGCAAAAATGTAAAGCATGCAAATAGCAACTATCTTAACAACCACTCCATGATCTTTAAAAAGTACGATTAGCCCCATTATGATCGATATGGATTTGTAGGAAAGTTGGGACAAACTTACTCCATAGATCATCAGAATATCAATCAACTTAGGAGATGGAGGAAATCGCAGCCCCGCTCGCAAACTGAATTTGTACACCATCATATATCCCGGGGGAGGAAAATGGGTACGATTAGATCTTATCGACACCTTCATCACCAGATCGTTAGGAAAATGAAAATTCTTTTTAAAGGAGATGAAAGAATAGTCAGTGATGGTGGAAATAACATCATCAGTCTTTGGCACCTTGTGAGTCTTCTTTGAAACATCATATCAGGCAACAGGGCGATCTTCTTTGGCGGGGGGATTTCTTTTGGATATATGATCACCCATCTCAACTCCTATACTGAAGAGGGGCACTAAATTTGAGTAGGGAAAGTCATCTACGAAAGATAGCGAAAAGCCTCTAGAGCAGGAAGAAGAATGAGAGAAAAAAAGGAAAGGAGTGGAAGTCTCCAACTTCTGTACAAGAGGAGGGGCGCTGAGTCAAGTAGGGAAAGTCACCTATTGAAAAATAGCGGAAAGCCTTAACTATCAAAAAGTTAGAGGGAGAAGAAGAGAAGGAGCAATTTTCGCCCTGGCCCTAGGGGCCTTTTAATAGCCTTTTTAGGAGAAGAAAAGAAGTTTTTGGTTTTTTCTGGAATTTTCAATTTTTTTTGATTTTTTCTGGATCTTTTGGAACTTTTTTTAGATTTTTTACATAAAAAAATTCAGATTGGGCTGGCGGTTCAGGCAACTGCTAGCAACGGGCCTGAACCGGCGCCCGACCGCCAAATCACGTGGGTCAGGCTGGCCAGGCGCGGGCTAGGCAGGCCGCGGTGCAGGCCGGTGGGCCCGGTGCACGGTTCCGCGCAGCCGGTGGTGACGGCGGTATGCCAATTGGTTCAATCGGTTCGGCTGCCCACTCAATTCCAAGCCCAATTTTCACCCCGGAAAGGGCAAATCGGATTTTTTGGGGTCCTCAGGACCATTTTTCGGTGTTCTTGACTCAATTTTATCACTTTTAAAGCCATTTGGAGTTCCTACATGCAAGATTGAATTTCAAATCACTTGGAAAATTCTCCAAAGTTTGTGTCACGTATTTTCTTACTCCTGGAGCTTTGACGTCCGAAAATAGAGGGTCAACTGATATATCATAAAAAAAGTATCTTTATCGGGCACGTATCTTGAGGCAAAATTAAGCCGGAAACTTTAAAAATTAAATTCGGGATCACCTAAACATTGATTTTAGCAAACTCATAGTCAAACAGAGCGTCTCAGAAATATGAACTCGACGACACTAAATTTGACTCAATCCGATCCCAAATGAATCCAAATCAAGCACCCAAAGTGTTGTTGGAAAGTTTAAACCATAATTTGAGTTACCAAATGATTTCCAAATATGACGTTCTTATAGTTTAATCAAGCATCTCGATGAGAGAAATACAACAAGCCCAAGATCGCCGAATTCCAGTATCATTAAGACCTTCAAAGGTCTGACAAACGGTGCACAACCAAGGGATTCAATATCGGCTGTCCATCTGACCACTCCCTATTTACCACTTATCTCTCACCTATTTACAAGTCATGTCACTCCATAATATCTATAAATAGACCCCTCATTTCTCATGAGGAAAGGGGGAAGGAAGAAGAAGAGAAGAAGAAGTGAAGAAGAGAATAGAAGAGAAGGATAGGAGGGAATAACTCCTCCTCAACCACCGCTGGAGCTCTGCCCGACGCCCGAGTGATGCCGGAATTCTACCATACACCGAGTAACGCCAGAATTCTACCCAAGTGACATCGGAATCCTTCCCAACGCCAAAGTAAAGCTAGAATTTTGCCCGACGCCTAAGTGACGCTAGAACTCTGCCCGATTTCCAAGTGACATCAGAATTCTAAGCGATTCTAATTCAGCTCGAATACATAACTTGTTTGTAATTGGATTTCAATCCGGAAGTGAAGCATTATAATCTGATTGTCCTAAATTTTAAGGATGAGTCAACCTCTTGTACCTCAAACAAACACTAGTGGAATTATTTCAACTAGGCGTGGCTCCGTGGTTTTTTTACTTTTCAGGGTTTTCCACGTAAAAATTCTAGTGTTGCTATTTCTCTTCTATTTGTGTGCTAAATATTCGTATAACGTTGAGACAGAAGTTTTCTAATTCTATCGCAGCGTATATTCTAGCCCGCAACATATATATAATTTGAATTTGCAACATAAATTAACATAAAATTTTCGGCTTCTATGTTCTTGCAATATTAATTATTGGTCCATATGATTATTCTCCTAAAGAAAATGCATTCTAGCAAATAATAATTCATATTCAATCATTTAATACCAGAAATTTTGGAAGAAATTCAAATCAATACATTTTAGAAGTTTTGCAATACAAAATCAATGTTAAACACGAATTGCACATAGAGTTTAATTAAATTTCATTGGTTATTGAATATATCTTTAATCTTAAACAATTAAATGAATCCTTAACAAAAATATAAATTGTCAACCAAACAACAATTTATCATATTTCTTTCTTATGGGCTGCAACCTATATGTATCATGTACATAAAGTAAGAAACTGAATTATATGTGAAAATGCTAGAGAAGAAAACATATATAACAGTGCATTTCATAAAAATTTATATATTTTTCTCCATGATTGAATTTAAGTTTACAACTTTGATTACATAACATAGTCTTCTAAAACTATTATAGACTGCCCTCCATAGTGGCTATGTTGGGGCTCTATGGAATTCACAAGCAAATGAAAAAGAACTAGTCTAAATCTAGGATATTTGTTTTGTATGTAAAAAAGCTAATTTGATTCATTCCTAATACATTAAATGTTAACTTTACCTTTGTTTTACATTAAAAAAACACCTTAAAGATTAAAACTCTTACATTTGTTTTAAACAAAAATACTTAATCCAAATAATATTATCAAATTTGCATCTCAACGGTAAACATCAACAGTGAATAGATAAACAAGGTTATTTGCTTGATTAAAGTTACCTTGATGAAGAGCAATGGAGCTTGATACTGTGAACTGCGAAGAGTAGTGGAGCTTGCGACTGTGAAGTGTGAAGAGCAGAGCGAAGTGTGAACGGATAGATCTCTTCAACTGTTCAACGTTGACTCGAATAGGAAGAACCGAAGAAGAGGAGAGTGCTGGCTGTGCTATAAACAAAGCCTGCTAAGTTGCGACCGAACGTGGAATAATACGAATGGGATTTCGCAAAACGGCGAAAGCGGTTGGAATAGCAAACTAGATTGGTACTTGGGCAGGATTGATAAAATTATGACAAAATTATTTTTGAGAGGGAAAGCAAAATATCAAAAATATTTCTTTTAATATATATATATATATATATATGGATGGATTTCAAAGGTTTTGAAAACGAATGAGATCGGCCGTTTCGGAACTGAGTTGTGACCTATTGAACCTGGTTCTGGTGGCTTCGGTCCGATCCAAGCTTCAGACAGCTCTGCATAGACTCGTAAGGATTGAACCGGCGGTTCACTCCGTTGAACCGGTCCGGGTTGGAAAGAACCGACCGGTTCAATAAAAATATTTATTTTTGTTTTAATTAAAATTTTAAAAATATTTTTTTGTTTATTAAAATTTTTTAAACACTTTTAAAAATATTTTTTGTAAATATGATGATTAATTTCATCATAATACATGCAAGTTATCTTAGATACCTCACATAATTTTATTTTGGAAAGAGTGTACTTCTCACTTTATAAAGGGTTCAAGAAACATCTTTAAACTCCCCTCTGTGATGTGGGACTAAAGAAGTTGCATGAATAGTTTAGAATGTGACTTGGGGCTTATTTGGGCTAGTTTGGCTTCAAATTTTTTTTAGTTGGGCTTCAATTTTTTTTAGTTGGGCTATAAATTTAATGATTATGTATATAAATTACTATAATATATATTATAATAATTATATTATAAATATTAATATATATAATATATATATATATTATTATTAAATATTATTCTATAAATATAATAAATATATAATTTTTAAATGATATTTTATATTTTATAATTTTGTAATTATATATATTTTAAATTTATAATATTTTTAAATGGTCATATATTTAATTATTTCTATATATAATAATAAATTTTTTATATTAATAATTTATTATATTATATTAAGTTATTATTCTTATAATATATTATTCTTAATATGATATTTATATGTATAAAATTTTATTATATATTAAAATTTATTAATATTTATTAAATGCTGATATTACTTATATTATATAGAATTTTTAGTTATTATTTTTAAATAATATTATTATTTATTACGTCATTCGGTTCGACCGGTTCCTCTACCTCTTCTGGTTCGTTGTCCGATCCGATTTTCACAACCTTAAATATTTGTCCACCCTGGCTTTAATGGTGGGCCCGCCCATATTTTTATAAGGGTGGCTATCCCCAATATAGATCAATTTTTTCGGAGCGTTGGGTTACTGTTCACGCTCAGATTTGGTTCAGTTGTCGTAGAACAGAAGAGTAGATGTCCGAACGGACCAAAACCTTCCCTTGATTTGTTCCACACAAGCTCGCCTATGCCCACCGAAGATTCTCTCTCACTCGAACATGGCTTCCTCCTGTTCATTTGGAAGCCAACTGCTGCCACGCTCGCTCTCCCATAGAACCCCTGCTGCCGCAACCTACGCGCCTTCATCTCTCGGCATCGCGCGATTTCGGCTTCAAATTTACCCTCGCTTTCGACCGCTACCCGCATTCTCTTCGTGTTTCGAGCGATGGCAACGGTCCGGTGTGATCGTGAGGGCGGAGGAGGAAGCCAGGGATTCTTCCCATCCTCAGAGGGGAAGAGCTGCTGGTGGCAGCGACGGCATTGGAGAGTACAAGGTTCTGATTCATCATCCATTTTTTTAACTTCTTAAATATTTTCTACCTACTTCGCCTTCCCTACTTTTCTAAATTTTTTCTTAGGGGCTGTTTAGTGGCTGAAAAAGGAATGCATTATAAAAAAAAATATTATATAAAAGGAATACTTTAAAGTTGTTTGAAAGAGTGTAAAAAATGCATGATTTTTTTTTTGAAATAAAATGAATGGAATATAAAGTGTAAAAAAGGTTGTGTTCGGGGTGGTTGGAAGTGGCGCGGGGGGTGACGATGGCGGTGGTGGGTGGTGATGGGAGCAATGACAGCCGGCGGTGATGGCGGCGATGAGTGGTTTCTGCAAGGGGGTAGCCAATTGCTTGCAGTGGATGGTGGTGTGGTGGCCGGTAATGGGGTGTCAATAAAGATGGTGGTCAGGCAAGAAGTGTAAACGGTTCTCACTCAAAATTGGACGAAAACGGCTTACCTCGAAAAATAAAATAGAATGAAATACACTTAAATTTACTTTACCTTAGATTTTTTTTTTAATCCAATCAAATACAGAACTTTTCAAAATTCCTGGATTTACTTTCCGCTTACTTTACATCCAATCAAACAGTCCCTTAGCTTAAATTTCCTCACCCACTCAATGATTGCTTCTCTTAATCATCCCCTCATCTCTCCTTCTCTAGAATCTGTAACAGTATCCTTCTACATCCTTGATTTAATCATCTTATTATGGGCTCACATTATCATAATTTAAGTTATGATTATTATGGAAAACAGTATGCTAAATAGGATCTTGGTTAATATGAATATATCAAGGAAAGATGAAAAATACTATTTTGAGAAGTGATTAAATGAGTGATTTAATGAATAAATTATTTTGAAAAAGTATAACAAACATTATAATGAAGTTTATTATAGGATAAAAAATGTGAAGTAGAGTTAAATTTAAAAAATATGAATAAAAATAAGGTTCTGAATCCATATGAGATATTTTTTGACATTTGTAAAGTTATAGGATATTGCCGTGATTTAGTTTAAAAAAATTTTAAGAAAATTTTGAATACAAAGAGGAAGCCAATTATCGAAGAAGAAGTATTTCAATATCAACATTTAAGAATAAGGCAATGTTCAAAATTGTGCTAACTGTGGAGAAATCAAATTTATGATTCATAAAAAATTATGTCAGTGGCTAATAGAATATAGACTTAAAAAGTTATATCATTTTATTATGAAAATGACTTTTGTATTAAAATAATTAATGAAGATGTATAGAGAATAAAAAAAAAAAATTCCATATGATTTTTATTGATCTTGAGAAAGAATGTGATCTATTACCATGAGAATTGATTTGATCTACTATAAGGAGAAATATGTGTGCCAAAGATATATTGACGTTACTAAAGATATGAATAATGAAGCATTGACTTGCATTAGAAGTAGTTGTAGAGACCCAAGTGTTCTCAATTGCCATGTGTTTACATTAAGGATTAATATATACTTTTTATATTTGTTATTGGAGATGCTTATAGATGACGTTTAAAGCGAGATAAATTATTATGCTTTTTCTTATAGATTCAAAACTAGATTGTTAGTGATATGCCACTTCGCCTTTCTTATTTTTAGTGACTATTGAATCATTCTTGATTTTACCAGTTCTAAAGACATATCTCTATATTGCATGTAAAAATTCATAGAATTTTTATGAACTTCATATTCTTGGTGATTTACAAACATAATATTAATAATATAATAATTCTATTTGTATGTTGTACAAGTAATGGCTTTTCACTCATATGGGTATTCTCATGAAGGCACTGAAAAGCTACCAAGTAGTTTCTACTTTCTATTATGAAATAAAAAGGCAATGACATCTTTATTTTCTTAATAATTAGTCAACAGAAGTCTTTTTTTTCCCCCTATAGGCATGACTCTGATAATCCGCGTTCCTTTTTTTCTATCTGGTCCACACACACACAACAAGTACATAAATTACAATCACATACCTGAGTATGACTTCTTTATTTTTCAAAATTTCACATGTTATATTATCTGAATGCTATCTTTATAATCAAATGATTCGAAGGTATTAAATTATTCTGGATGGATCACTGAGAAAAAGAATCTCATTTTTCTTATGATATTCAAACTCTTTCCATCAATGGTGAAGCATGGTTTTTTAAATCAACCATCCAAAATATGGTCTACGAGATTGAATGGAACAAAAAGAAAGTCTAAGGTTTGACAGGCTTAATGCTTTGCCTGCCATAGTTTGCATTTTATCAATACTCCATTGAGTTTTTTCACAGCATACCGTGATTAATGGGATGGCTCTCTCAAACCTGTTTATTTTGTCCATATTACATCAATCCTCTACATTTGTATCAGTACATCTGCTGCCCAATAATTGTTATTTTAAGCAGCTAAAATATATTAAAATAGCTTTTTGGTATATTACACCATTTTAAAAAGTTGGCCAAAGTGCTCACCCTTATAGTTTCTTTTATCAAGTTGGAGCATTTCAGTATGTTGAATTTATAGGCACTTAATTTGCTCATCATTGTTGACCATTAGTTAGACATGAATCTTCATCAAAACTTGACTATATTGTCTTTCTATAGCAAGTTATGGTTACATGAGCTTCTAAAAAACGCATCTTTTAGTATCAGCTCGCACTTAAGTTGCAGTAACAGTCTCTCATTAATTATTTTAATATTTTATGTGGAGATTATAGGAAGGTTGTGATATTGATCATGCGTTACCTTATCTTCAAGTACTAACATGAACTTTTAAAAATAAATAGGAGCTGATGGATAGATCTGGAGTATGTGATCCCCTTTGTTCAGTTGATGAAGTAAGCTCACAGGATTTCAAAGCTAATTACCAGCCCAAGACTGATCTACTAAAAGCTCTTACTATTCTTATATCGGCACTGGCAGGGGCTACTGCTATTAATCATTCCTGGGTAGCTGAAAATCAGGTTGGCTGCGACCCTGTTAATCATTCTTTCTAAATTAATTGCTCTTAATTGACCTTTTTACTGAATCCAAGAGGATGTTCTCTTTTAAATTTATGTACCTTGACCATGCACTATCTTTGAAGTCATCCATTTCGATGTGAAATTCCTTTTACCATGGTACTTTCTAATGCCAATCATCTTATGATACAGGATGCTGCCATGGCTTTGGTGTTTGTGCTAGGCTATGCAGGCATAATTTTTGAAGAATCTTTAGCATTCAACAAAAGCGGAGTAGGATTGTTGATGGCTGTTTGTTTGTGGGTTATCAGAAGTATTGGGGTACTTTTCATTGCTACTTATTGAAAAATTCTCATCCATCTCCCATGAATTTTCGAAATCGAAAATCTACTTATAATGCTTTTTACAATATATTTAGTTTTTTCATCTTCATATATTTAATTTATTGCATGATGGATTAAATGCTGTTAGATTATTGGTGTCTGTTTGGTCATCGACAAGTTTGAAGCAAGGAAAGAATAATGTATTTAGAATATTTTCAGTTGTTTGGTAAGGTTAAAGTTAAGTTCATTTGCTTCAGTTAGGGCTAACTGAAAAGCCACTCACCTTCAGTCCCGTTTTTATTATACCTAAAACTAAAACTGCCGAGTATTATGTATACTTTGCATGTCTGATAAAAAGTTGAATAATTCTTTGACATAGAAAAGTTAAGAGAAAAAGTCCAAAATGGTCCCCTGACTAGTAACAAGTGTTCAATTTGCTCCCAGAGTTCCCATTATACCAATTTAATTCCCCAACTATTGAAAATTGATCAAAGTTAAAATTTACACCAAAGTTAAATATAAGGATATTTTAGGTAGTGAAAAGGTGTATGAGATTACATTACTTATGTTGCTCTATTTTATCATTTAATAAATTATAATAAATATAAAAATCAAAATAAACACTATCGTTGCCAAGTCCTAAGTTTTGAATGAGAAAAATAGAGGGTTGCATTAAGTAGTCGACAACCGGTGTAAAACTTATCGAATAATCATGACATAAATCCTTTAATATATTATGTTAATATTAGGACGTTCCCTGTAAGCAACGCGCTGTATAGTATGAATATAGTGAGAAGTGTGTAAGGGTCGCTACATCGGCTCCCGTGTCTTAAGTTCTCAATGAGAAAAGTGGAGGGTTGCGTTAGAAATGCTGCAAACCAGGATCCCAAGCTTATTTTTTTTATGATAACAATCATTATTGGGTTTCTATTTTGTTTCTCTTGATATTAATCTTGGATATTTATTTTATGCACACTAATATTTTAGATACAACACTACCGTTGCTAGGTCCTATGTCTTGGATGAGAAAAATGGAGGTTTGTATTAGGTAGTCGACATCCAACATAAAATTTGTCGAATAATCACGGCATGAATCCTTTTAAAAAATGTATTAATGTTAGGGCGTCCCTTGAAAGAGACACGTTGTACGATTTGAATACAACGAGAAGTGTGCCAAGGCCGCTGTGCCGGCGACCGAGTGTAGTGTTAAATAGGAAAGGGTTCCCACATCAAGGACGGATATGAACAAATAAGCTTGTTTATGAAACTAAAATTAGGATAAAAACTTTGAATATAGGTCCCTTACAGGAACATTAATAAAATTAATAGATATTATGATTCATAGGAAGATAAATATTCAGTGTATTCAGAAAATTAAATGGATTAGAAAAAGACAAAAATGGAGAGAGAAACGAGTCCTCATCGTGGTCGCCAGAAACTTGTGGACCTCCAAAAAGACACCGCTCACAGCTGTAAGGTGCGAAGGGTATACGACCGCACCACCCTGAGGGATAGAAACTGTTGCAGGCCTCCGCGCTCTTCGCAAGCGGGCCAATGAGAGTGATGTTATCAAATATTATGTATTTTTATTTCAATATTGAACATTAGTATGTTAATGTAGTTTTTATTTTTTTTAGCTATCCAATGATGAAAGGCATCCAATGATCATGGTAGGTTGTGCTTAGGGTTTGGTAAACCTTTGGTTTGCTAGCTCGATTGGTCCTTGACTGTTGCTGGTTCTCGGGTTGGCTTATGGTCCACGATTTTGGGCTTATGGAGATGTTTGGAAGGAGGTGGTTCATTTGTGTTGAGCTTTAATTGCTAAGTTGCTAGCTCATTAATCTTCTAAGGTAAGCTTATAAGTTGGATTCATTATTGAGTGGTCTTGTCTCTTCTCCTCCCCTTTTCTTCTTAAAATTCTGCCTTCTGATCATTCAAGAACTCTCTTTTAGGAATTTAACAATTTGCGTCAAGGAAATCAAATTGTGGAAGAATACACTGAAAACTTTTTTAAATTGCAAGCTAGAAATGATTTGGATGAATCTGAGAAGAAAAATTTAACCAGATATCTTAATGGGTTAAAATGGACAATTCAGGATCAACTTAATTTGCATAATGTCATTAAGTTAGATGAAGCTTAACGCATGGCCTTAAAAATTAAAAAACAACATTTGTGGGGAAGCAACAAAATAACTAAAACATATAAGCGACGACAAACTAGCGGGGCTAAAGTTCAATCTCAAACTTCTGTGGGAACTTCGGGTGTAAAAGTTAAAGCTATCGAAAGTCAAAATCTGGATAAGGATAAAGGGTTAATGGGATCTAAACCTAATGAGCAACCTAAACTGATTGGGCCTTGTTACAAATATGGTCTATATGGTCATTTGTCGGCTACTTGCTGAAAAAATAACCCTCCACGAAATAACTTCATAGAAAATGAAAAAGAGGAAGAGGAAGAGGAAGAAAACAAAACAGAATTTGAAAATGAAGCTGAAATGAAAAATTTTGATTTGGAAGGTGATGAAGGAGAACCATTGTTAGTAATTCGACAAGTTTTAACTACTCAAATTGAAAAATGAGATAAATGGCTTAGAAGAAACATCTTTAGGACTACCTGCACTGTTGAAGGAAAAATTTGTACCTTAATGATTGGTAGTGGAAGTTCAGGAAATTTTGTATCACAACACATGGTGGAGAAGCTTAAATTGAAAACAAAACCTCTTTTTAAGTCATATAAAATATCTTGGTTTAAAGAAGGGGGTGAGGTTTCTATAACCAAACAATGCACTGTGAACTTAACAATTGGAGAAGCTTACAAGGATCAAATTATTTGTGATGTAGTACCTCTTGAAGTTTGTCATATTTTTTTGGGTTGTCCATGGCAGTATGATCATAAAACCATTCATGATGGAGAAAAGAACACCTATACCTTAATTAAAGATAATAAGGAGTTCACTCTTTTTCCACAAAAAAACATTTCTGGCCCATCAATAAAGAATAAGAAATCTGCGAAATCTTCCACTCCTGAATTGTTTTTTAACACAAATGAATTAACACGGTTTGAAGTGGTATATTTGGTGCTTGGAAAAGAAACTGACTTAACTCTTGAGATTCCTAAAGAAATACAACCGTTACTTAATGAATTTTCTAATTTAACACCTGATGAGTTACCAACTGGTTTACCCCCAATGAGAAACATTCAACATCATATTGACTTAATTCCTGGATCTACATTGCCTAACCTTTTTATTACATGAGTCCAAATGAATATAAAAAGCTTTCTAAGCAAGTGTCTGAACTGTTAGAAAAGGGTTTAATACAGGAAAGTCTAAGTCCTTGTCCTATGCCTGCTTTGCTTACTCCTAAGAAAGATGGAATCTGGAGGATGTGTGTGGATAGCCGAGCCATAAATAAAATAACCATCAAATACATATTTCCAATTCCTAGATTGGATGACATGCTAGATATGCTAAGTGGTGCCAAAATTTTTTTCTATAATTGATTTGAGAAGTGGGTATCATCAGATAAGAATTAGACCTGGAGATGAATGGAAAACTACTTTTAAAACTAAAGAGGGCTTGTATGAATGGCTTGTTATGCCTTTTGGTTTGTCAAATGCTCCAAGTACTTTTATGCGAACAATGAATCATGTTTTGCGACCTTTTATTGGAAAGTTTGTGATAGTATATTTTGATGATATTCTGATTTACATCATTCATTCATCTGAACATCTTTTTCATGTCAAACAAATTTTGCAAACTTTGAGGGAACAAATGTTGTATATCAATTTAAAGAAGTGTTCTTTTATGACTTCAAATTTGACATTCTTGGGTTACATTGTGTCTGCTAAGGGAATCAAAGTATATCCTGTGAAAATTGAGGCAATACAGAGATGGTCTGTTCCTAAAAATATCAGTGAGGTAAGAGGTTTTCATGGGTTAGCATCTTTTTATCGTCGATTCATTAAAAACTTTAGTTCTATAATCGCTCCTATCACTGATTGTTTAAAAAAAGGAGTCTTTAAATAGACCCCTGAGGCTGAAAAAACTTTTCAACTTATCAAAATCAAAATGAGCCCAAGCTCCAATTCTTAGTCTGCAAAATTTTGAAAAAGTTTTTGAAGTTGACTGTGATGCTTCGCATGTTGGTATTGGTGCTGTTTTGAGTCAGGAAGGAAAGTCTATTGCATATTTTAGTGAAAAGTTAAATGATGTTCGATCTCGATATTCTACTTATGACTTGAAATTTTATGCTATTGTTCAAGCTTTAAAATTCTGGAGATGTTATTTGATTCAACGGGAAGTTATTTTAAATACTGACCACGAGACTTTACGATTTTTGGGTTCACAAAAAAAATCTGAACAAAAGGCATGCCAAATGGGTTTCTTTCTTGCAAGAATATTCTTTTCATATCAAACATAAAACTGGGATTTTGAATAAAGTTGCTGATGCTTTAAGTCGAAGATATCACTTGTTGATAACTATTTTTCCGACTGTTACTTCTTTTGATTTTTTGAAAGATACTTATGCAAGTGATTTTGATTTTAAAAATATTTGGGATTCTTGTCTTGCTTCTAGAACTGATCCTTCTCCTCAGTTTGTTATACATCAAAGTTTTTTGTTTTAGGGAACTAGACTTTGCATATCTAAGAATTCTTTAAGAGAACAACTTGTGAGAGAATTGCATAGTGGAGGTTTGTGAGGACATTTTGGGCAAGGGAAAACAATTGCTTTGCTTGAAGAAAAATATTTTTGGCCTCATATGAGAAAGGACATTGCTAAGCTGGTTAAACACTGTAAAATATATCAGGCTTTTAAAGGAACTGCACAAAATTCTGGTTTGTATACTCCTCTGCCTATTCCAAACAAACCTTGGGAGGATATTTCCATGGATTTCATTTTGGGTTTGCCGGTTACTTCTCGAAAATTTGACTCTGTTTTTGTTAGGAACAGACCAGATATAAAAATGCCGGATATTTCCATGCATTTTATTCCTTG